TGGATACTTGTCTATCAAAAAACATGTGCCACCTAAAAATTTTACTTTTGATTACTTTTAACGGTATAAAACGCGAAATAGTTAACTTGTTTTAATTAAGGCCCGATGCTTCTCGGCGATCGTAGTCACGGAGAGCCTCTCGTAAAGAAAGATGCCCTTTATATCGTAGTCATATCTGCTACACTAGCGCCACCTCTTTCTCGTAATTTATATTTAGAGAAACTTGGTGGGTCTCATAGAACTGACTAACGGTGTCCTCCCGTTTACTGGTATGCCGTTTTTTAGTAATTGATAAAAAAAATTGAAAATAATTTAACGAATATATTTCTTGTTTAATAACTGTTAAAACTATTTTATTTAAGTGTGTACTTCTCGTGTAAACTACAGACAACGATTAAAGTGTTTCTCAATATCGTTACATGTTAAATAAACGTATCATATTTATAGGTACGTGTACATTACGAGCGATTTCTAATGTATTTTTGTATTGTTTATATGTAATGTGTGTTTATGTGCATGTGTATGTGTATTTGTGTGTTGATACAATTAAAATATACAGTAATTACAAATACTTCAAAGCCATAACGGTTAACTCCTTTTAACAATAAATTAAATTTTGAAATAACCTATAAAATTTACTGTTTACCTTATTTTTGATTACCAATATCTTTTACAATTTAAATTTGTGTAATTTAGACCATCAAGGGTAGAAGGGCCGAATAAACAATCACGTAATAATTGTTACCTCTATTTTAGGAATTTCACAGATTTATAGCTCGGGATCGACCTTTTCGATCCTTTCATAGGTTAACTTAAGAAATTAGTCAACGTAATAGTTATGTTCGCTTGTATAGTCGGTTGCGAAAATAATTATTAGTTTTTTATATCACTAAACTAAGCCCCCGAATTCGTCAACGTGGAATAGTTCTCTTGGGCATCAACATTTATTTTTACAAAATTAAAGAGTTCAAACAACCAACACCTTAGCTTTATAGTCCTTAGCTAATATTAGTCTAGATACATACCATCTTTTTGATAATACAAAGAAAACATATAACTTTATAGCACATAGTAATCAGTAAAGTATAGCGGCGAGTTTCTTGCTAGTTCTGTTCGTTCGTTCTACTCCACGCTACTCTCAAGAACTGGTGGTTAACTGTAAAAGTTTTCACAAATACTGAGTAACCTACTTTGCTAAATTATTTTGATTAGTTTTTTCAATAAGTGACGAAACATTACTTGTATATCCCTCAGTTATACTATAACATATATAGGTAATTTAATAAGTACTAAGTAACTTTAACTTTTGTTTTTATTTATATAGCTTTAAAATTTATGTATCGATTCAAAATGTTATTTTTTGTTGATATTTCAGTAGAATTCACGTCTTACAAAATTTCACCAATACTTGCCGGCATGTTAAATTTTCAAACTTTAGTCTCCGCTCTTACAGTACTAGTTTCATTTTAGTATTGTAGTTTACGCGAGTAGTACGCATTATATACATCACTTTTAACGGTTTAAAATGTAAAATATATTAATTAACCTCTTTACAATTTATTTTAACTAGAGCCCAACATTTCGGATGCTTTGCACGGTTTTAAGCCGTGAAGTGTTATGTTAACACAGTTGCATATTATAATATAAGAATGGCCTTGAAACGAAAGTCCTCTAACGCATAAAGTATATAAACGTCGATGTTTACCCGATCCAATTTGCTAAGTATACATAAAAAGTTATAAACATAAAACCCCTGAGTATCGGATTTGGGTCGTATTACTGTTGAAATAAGGCAAATCGAGTTTGCGCCCGAGTAATCCCACACCTTTTGTGAAATAAGACGCGTGCTCCCTCACTGGGAAATCGGTGGGAACTAATGTCTTAGCATTTGTCATAGCGCAGCTGTGACGCCAACAGAAATATTCATATCAGGTAGCATATATACATTTTTCCCCATTCTAATTTAAGTATTATTAATACTAGCTGTAGCTGCGACTTCGTCCGCGTAGAATAGTTATTTTGGGCATCCGAATTTGTTTCTGCAAACCTCTTCATCCTTATAAACTTAAGCTGTTACCCACGACGTCGTTCACTTCCCGTCGTTCTTGCACGTTAATCTTACAACGTAGTCATATAGTATCACGGACATTTTTTTAGACCATTTAAAAGATGAATTATTCATTTATACATATTTTAAGTTCTTGAGAGTAGCGCGTTCAAACAAACAAACAAACGAACTCTTCACCGTTATATATTAGTATAGGATCATCATATTTAGTAACACAAATAACAGTCCTTATAAATAAAATGTATATGGAGATACTCAGATTTTGTTATACCTAGAGGACAGAGAGGATACATTTGAAGAACTGTATACGTACACACATTACAGATGGTGTGATTATTGTAAAAAATACATACACATAATACGTAATGTTTCCAATTAATAGAAATGGTAAATAAAAAGAAATGCATAAAAAAACTAAATGATATTATATAGTTACACGACTAAGGCTCTCTCTGAAATTCTCCTAGGAATTATTTATATCTTAATTTAGTGAAAGAGAATTTCGTGCTAAGCAGGTAAGTTGTTCCAGCATTTAGTCGCGTCATCCGTAAAACTTCTTGTGGAAGATAGACAAGCATGTGGTTCCCTTGATAGTAAGTCAAATTTTTCAGAAAAAAAATGGATTAGAAAAATATTGGACCCGATGGGGATCGAACCACGACCCGTTGATCACATATTTCTACCATTATACCGACGAGCGCACCTCTAGTGTTACTTACTTCTGCTGTATACGCCCAGGTTCACAATCATGAGCTAAGGAACTAATGGAATATAGCGTATATTCCATTAGTTCCTTAGCTCCATCTTATCTAACTTCCAAATTTAAAAGAAGTTTATAAACTTTAATACATATTTCTAAGTATCTGCAAGTACGTGATGAAACTTCTGTGTTTTGGCCGCTTAAAACTTTTTATCGCGCTTCCTTAAATCGCACCAACATTCGCTAGATACGTATCTATGGAGAATTAAATCACTAATTAAAAGTTTTTTTAGTTATCAAAAGTACAAAGTTAGAACAAGAGAGTACTCAAATTGGTTTACTATTAAACAATGCTCTTTACTTCCATTGCAGTATTATGCGAAACGTTTACGATCGATATAAAAAAAATAATGCAAGTAATCAATATTAAACACTATCTGTAGTTTCGCGAGTAGTACACACTTCAATAAAACACTTGAACGGTTTAAAACGCGTTATTTATTATTTAAACTTATTTCAAAATTATTTTAACTACGTTTCGGATGCTGTGCAGCAGTGAGCACTATTAATTAAATTATGAATGAAATTGTAATAAATTTCATATAAGTTAACTAATGTATATCGCGTTTTAAACAGTTAAAGTTTTACTTAAAATAAACAACATTGTTAAAATAACACTACCCTTGAATAAATCTCTCCGATCAAGTTATAAAACCCTAACGAACATTACGAGAAGTCAATAAAAACTTCGAATCAATTCCCTCAAATGCATTTTCACGCCGGAAAAGCGTTTATTTAGAGCCCGCCATTAAATTAAACTAAACCAATATAATTATCATAATTCGACTATTTGGCAAGAAACTCGTTAGGTGATCGTTGATTGGATTTAAACTTTATTACCGGGAGTTAAAGTTTAAAATAGCACGTGGATAATAAATCAGGGGTAAGTCGGAGTAAGCAAACTTGTGATTTCGACATTCAAGTGTTTTATTGAAGGTAAGAAGTAAGCATCAAAGACTTTCTGATTGAAGTTGTTGGGTTGTTCAGTCACTTGATTAGGACGATACTTTGATTTTGCTAACGACTTCTGAAGCTACCATGAAGTCCCATACAAAGCCTACAGTCAATTGAAAAATACTAAGTGGTAGGTATTTAAAAAGAATAAACCCTTACGCTGGCTATGGAGCTAATACAGGACATATTTCTATGTCTGTTTCTGGCCACTTGAATAAACTTGTAAAGACGATATTTCCAAGAACCTCCTTCAAACAATGGTGCATTTTCATAAAAAGAATATTAGGAGACACCCCAATTACACAGACAAGTACGCTTTGAACGACAAAAAAATCCGAAGGAAAAGTTTAAAGGTTAATTGATACAAAAATGGGACGATTTCATAATTTGTAAAACAACGTATAGTGTAAAATAAACAGTGACGTTAAAGCAACTTTATCTCATGGACATAAAGTCCTTTTTGGATCAGCTCGCGAATGTAATATGGATTTTATGAAAGCCGATAAATATAAATTACACACGCTTGAAAAGTGCTGACAAACCCTTACAGTTTGTCAGCACTTTTCAAGCGTGTGTAACATCTGGTGTTTGAATTCGCAAATAGCTTTCGTTCAACGACACAAACGCAATGTACAGAGTAAATAATTTTTAGATAAATCGTTAAGAAATACCGTATGATATTGGTGTTACTAAAAATACATTTAAATGTAATTCTAGCATTTAAATCGAAAACGCCTTGTATCTATAACACGTTAATTTATATTTATTTAGAAAAGCTCAATCTGTAATTATACTGAAAGTTGCGTATTACAGTTAACGGCATGGTATTGTCAATAAACTTGTAACATACATTAAGTAGTTATTTTAAAAACTAGACACTATACGATTAAACAATAAAGTAGCGTTCCTTAGTTATTAATTTTTTACATTTTATGACCATATTGTTCAATTTTTCTTACATTTCACTATATTCGTAAGTAATAAGCACAAATCAGGGATTATTCAATACTGACAAGTTTTATTTGTACTTGTATTATTTTACTGTCATGTTATTGATAGGTAGGTTTTAAATTAAAATACATTTTAATTTGAAAAAAAATTACGACACGGGCAGGACTTGAACATCCACAGCGTTTCGTGCTGTTGCTCTAACCAATTGAGCTATCGTGTCCTAGGCAGGTTTTAATTGTTTATCCTGCATTTTTCGATTTAACATACTTGTGTGTCTCTGTGTATGCTGTAGGTGGACCAGCAGCAAGGTTCCACCTGATTGGAGTCCAGACCCCAGAATTCCAATTCTTCCTCGAACAAAGGCCCGCACACATTTGTCGGGTAGTGCAATTTCCCGGTTCTGCAAGAAAACATTTTTTTTAATACACATGATCTTATTTTGAAAAATACATTTCTGTATGTATATAAGATACTAGCTGTGTCAGCGACTTTGTCCGCGTAGAATAGTTATTAAAAACATTTATTTTGTAAACTTCCTGTTCAACTCTATAAATTTAAGCTGATACCCAAGACATTGTCGGCGTCCCGTCGTTCTTGTTAGTTAATGTTAAAAAGAAAGATATAATATAGTGTTGCAGTCATTTTTTAGATCATTTATAAAGGAATCATTCTTTTCTACATATTTTTGGGTATCTTAAACCGTTTTCGCAGGGTATGCATCAGAAACCCACAGAGATAAATAATTACTCCCGTGTTTTTTTTTTCACATTTCCCGCTATTTCCTCGCTCCTATAAATCACAGCGCGATAGCTAAAAACCTTCCTCGATAAATGCTTATCCACACAAAAAAAAATCAATTCAAAGCAGTAGTTCCTAAAATTAGCACGTTCAAACAAACAAACACTTCAGCCTTATATATTGGTATAAATTAACATGGAATAAGAGCAAACAGCTAGTAAATAGTCCTACAGATATAATTCTAATCACCGTACGGTCGTAGGTTCGATTTACTTCACAAAGGTCGGGTAAGATAGTTAAGCCGTCCAGTAAACTTGGACCTCAACGATATATTGAGTGAAGTGTTAAGTCGTGTTGCGGTTTGAGGCTTAGTGCTGGATGACAAAAGCCTATTAGGTTCGAAGTGTGTGTAGTCGACACATGTAGAAAATTTATGAATTTATACAGAAATTAACAATATTAGTAACTTAAAAAATCGAAAATAAATTGAAAAAATTTTTTCGACTCGGGCAGGACTTGAACCGGCATCGTCAGCTTTCCGTGCTGTTGCTCTACCAATTGAGCTACCGAGTCCTACACCTCATCGTCGAATTTTTTCAACTTATTGATACATGCACCTCTCGCGCAATGTAATTTCTACCTTAACACTTGTGTTAAGCAAGTGTTAAGGTAGAAATTACATTGCGCGAGAGGTGCATGTATCAATAAGTTGAAAAAATTCGACGATGAGGTGTAGGACTCGGTAGCTCAATTGGTAGAGCAACAGCACGGAAAGCTGACGATGCCGGTTCAAGTCCTGCCCGAGTCGAAAAATTTTTTCAATTTATTTTCGATTTTTAAATTATATAGTGCCTTCATGTGCAATAACATGTGAAAAATATTAATGTTTTCAAAACGTTATAACTTTGTAATTTCATCTTCAATGATTTCTTAAGCTGCAAAGCATAAGACATTGAGCCTTAATACGCAAGTGTTAAGGTAGAAATTACATTGCGCGAGAGGTGCATGTATCAATAAGTTGAAAAAATTCGACGATGAGGTGTAGGACTCGGTAGCTCAATTGGTAGAGCAACAGCACGGAAAGCTGACGATGCCGGTTCAAGTCCTGCCCGAGTCGAAAAAAAAAAAAAAAAATTTTTTCAATTTATTTTCGATTTTTAAATTATATAGTGCCTTCATGTGCAATAACATGTGAAAAATATTAATGTTTTCAAATATTAGTAACTATCTGTATCCATTACTACGTTCACATGGAATAGTTATTTTGGGCAACACATTACTAATTTTTGCAAACTACCTCCTCAGTCTTATAAACTGTTGTCGTTACCCAAGACGTTGTCCGGTCGTTTTTGCGAGTTCATCTTAAAACAAATCTAGGTGTCGCAGACTTTTTGTTAGATTTCTTAAATAAAAGTCCGACCAAAGCTTAAAGATATTCATTATTATTTTAATGTTTATATATTTATAATATCCCTTTGGTAAGGGGTTAAAAACAACTATAATGCGGACCTCAGCCAAGCGTTATAGTTGTGATATATATATGAATAATTCTTCGAGCAATCGAGGAGTCAACATTTCCTGATGATGCCGTCCACACGTGATGGCGAAACGTCGAGAACCCGAAAGACAATGATATGCAGATCTAGTACCGTTTGCACTTTACGCGAGTAGTAGGTAGGTACGATTTAAACTTAATTAGTTAAACTTATTGCAGCCGGATTTGTCCAAAACCACGGCTAATGCAAAGCATCTGAAACGTCGCATAGGTGTACTTAAAAAAAATTAAATAAGTTTAATTAATACATTTCATTTTTTGAACCGTTTAAGTTAAATAAAACGTTCTAAGTAAATATTTTAGGTAAAAACAGAAAAAAAAAACATCCTATTTCATATAATAACTATACAATAAGTACTAAAGAAAAGTAATGACTAATTATTTAGTAGAAAATATATAATATTAACTAGGTCAAATCCTTCTTTAGCCGACCTCCTCCTTTTTCTCATTTGTACATTTATTTTTCCAACTTATACAGATATGTTTATTGTGCTATATTACTCAACGAAAGAGTTGCCAACTTCTGAATTAAAGTCCATTAAGTACCGAATGAATGTAAATGCTGCCAGACAAATCAATGTTGTTCAGATTTTCCTGAAGTGCGGCGTGAAACAGTATTTATACGCCTTTACTGATTCGTTTATTCACAAACAAATAAATAATTGTTAAACCTTTTGTGTCTGGCTCAACGAAACTATTAATTTTAATAAAATTTAATGTGCTATTGACCTATTTTGGATTTGACGGTTGAGAAATCCACAGACTGAAATGGAAACGCGATTAAACTTCACAATTTTTTTGTTTGGCGTTCGTGTTTAAATGGAATTTCAATATTCCACTATATTTTGGAGAGGCAACTTTTTAGTATAGAACTGTGCAAATAGATTTGTACTATCGCGTCGAGTTTCCGTTTTATGGGTACAAAGTTTAGAACCCAATTGGATATAAAGATCTTTATAATGGAGTGAAGGATCCCATAAAAGATCTACTGAGAACTTGCCGAGGGAAAATAAATCGTCGTCCTTATTATTTTCGGTAGTGATTCTTTGTTATTTACTTTAACTATCTTCACATTATTTATCGCGGTTATCAACACTTCTACACTAATATTATAAAGAGGAAAGATTTGTATTTTTGTATGTAACGGATAAACTCAAGTACTGGACCGATTTTAATAATTCTTTTTTCATTATAAAGCTACATTATCACTGAGTAACATTGGCTATATTTAGTATTAGATTACTTTAGAAATTTATAGAAATTCATATTAAAACCAACGGAGGCGTAAAAAAAATTGCCGTAAAATGTCTTTCATCGCATACGCTGCGAAGAATATTAATGATAGGACAAAAACATGTTGGACAATATTTCAATATAGAATATTAGATATAGAAATGCCGGTCAAAATCAGACCATGTTATCCATACCATTTATAAATTTTTTATCCAAATAAATAAATTTAAATAAAACACTTTAACGGTTTAAAACGCGATATATTAGTTAACACGTTCTCTCGATGCGGTCAGTGCTGACGACAGCGAAATTTCCGTTTAGGCCGAGTAAAAAATGTGGTTCTGTTCAAAATGGGCCGAATATTTTTTTGCTCATATGATTTTTATTTTGTATCCAAATGTATTGTATTTTTGTCGAAAGTCAATTTAAGCTTTTATTATTGAAATAATAATGTCGAACAGCATTGATCGCCGCGGCCCATAGAGCGAAAAAACGTCATTCCGTTACATGGGGCCGCGCGGGTCGTGGTGTCGGGTCAGCTCGCCTCTTTCCAAAAAAATTCCTGATGATGTCATATTGAATGTCGCTATGGTAAATGCTTTAGATATGTTTAAAAGCGTCATATAAATCATTGATTTAACTTTAGAAAAGAAATACTAAAAAGTTTTTGGCAAAGCCTGCATTAGCCAGAGTCCTAGAGGACAGACGACATGAAGAAAGCTGAGTCAGAAAAAAGATGCACCTTCGGTGAAACTGCATCGTTCCTTGTAGAATGTTACTAGAAAAATGTGTCTATATTTTGACGTTCAATTGCAAGGAAACAAGACTAAAAAATGGATCAGTCAGATCAATCAGTACTTTTTTAACACTTGCCATGATAAACTTTTTTTTTTTGGTTGAGTTACTTTGCCTATTTTCATACATAATTAATTGATAAGTTCATACAAATTAATATATGTATTTTTTTTATTTATACCTGCTAAAATGATTATATTTAGTTTAAGTAAACATTTTTTAAATATAAATTATTGTTTGTATATCGAAACTTGTAATTTTGCAAAAACCAACTTCATATAGAGTAACTACAGGGCCACGCGGGTCAATGAATATAGGATTTAGTTTGATAACATTTACCAACGGTCTGTAAAAACGAAACGAAAATCCTTGTTAAACGCGGTCATCACTGACCGACGCGGCTCAAATGGAAATTCTTGATGTCAACCATCACTGACCGACACGGCCTGAACGGGAAAGTTCATTTTTTCTCTCGCAAGAACGTGTTAAACTTATTTGAAAATGATTTTTAACTTCAGCCCGATGTTTCATAGACAGTGTCCAAATAATAAACAGTTTGTTTCTTATTTACCAAGTTTCGTTTCGTTTTTAATCCATTAAATAAGACCACAATACATCTTTTACACTCTTTACAAAGAACTGCAAAAGGTAATATTCCCTTACCTTTATACCTATCATTTTTTTAATTCCACGTGTCTCTTATTAAGATGAAATTACAATAAACTCGAGTCTGATTTTTATTCTCTTAGAATTCATTATGTCTGTCGTTATTCTAAGAAGGCGTTTTATTATTCAAACAGTGTTCTGGTATTTGAATATTGCGTACATATCTGATATTAAAATAGGGCAATAGAACAAAGGCACTTGTAAGAATTTTAATATTTACAGAACATTACGCTACAAATATGATTACTTATAACTTCAGATACAAATTGAAAAAAATTAAACGCACTTTTTTTTTTTTAATGTAAGTGTATATTAGTAGTTAGTCATTACCTTATTATACTTTATATCATTTGAAAGCGAAAGCCCGTTTCCCCCTCATGGGGCATGGGGCGAACACATTTCTGTGTCCGTAT